TGGGCTTGTTCATCGCCGGTTAATCTTCGCCGCGCCGCGTACTCATCGCCGCCGCGAACTCATAGCCGGATACTCTTCGCCTCATATTCATCGCCAGGTATTATGACTTCTTTTGCCTTCTGTTGCGTACTCATCGCCGCCGCATATTAGATTAGTTCCCGCCGGAGTCTGTGTGGGTCCGCCGGAATTGTTGTGACAAAGCTTCTTTTACGTTCAAAGCTTTTCTTTTCTAGGCTTTCTTGCTTGAAGATTGAAACTCGACGGGCCAATCAGAAACTATCCGCTTATGGATCGTCGCTCTGTTCTTTGTAGGATCATAACTTTGTTCTTGTTCGAGAATCAGACCATCTTTTAGCTGTGCTAATTTATCTCCGGCTACTCTTCTCTGCGTACTCATCGCTTGGTATTTTTTTGAGATAATTGGCTAAAGTGCCCTATTTGGCACCTATAATTAGCAAAATATTCATGATTTGATTGATGCTTTTAATCGGACGATTTTGCCCTTCTCTACATTCTCTCTCCTCTCTTTGACGTTTCCCCCTTTTTTTCTCGTCAATCCCTAATTATTTTACAAATTTCTATCATTCTATATACAATTAAATTTTAAATTTCATTTTTTTTTCATAAGTGGTTTTGAATCCTCAATTTTTTGACCTTTTTTTCTCTTCAATCCCTAATTATTTTACAAATCTCTATCATTCTATATACAATTAAATTTTAAATTTCATTATTTTTCATAAGTGGCTTTGAATCCTTAATTTTTTGATGATATCAATTTTATGGGTTTTAGATTGGACGTCGTGTTAGCGATTAACAAATATTGTAGACGTTAACAGAAGTGTTAGTTGTTTTTTTTTTTAACACTGGATAATTATGCCATTACAAACTACATTGGATAATGTGCGTGAAGTGTTAGTTGTTAACAATTATTTTTACGCTTCGCGTTAATAAATGTGTTCGATGTTAACAAATATTATAGACGTTAACAGAAGTGTTAACTGTTAACAATTATTTTTACGCTTCGCGGTAATAAATGTATTGACTGTTAACAAATATTGTAGACGTTAACAGAAGTGTTATATGTTAACAAATGTTTTTACGCTTCATGTTAATGAAAGGAAAGAGAAAGGGCATTCTCGGCATTTCCTTGCCAAATGGTTGTGTATGTGTCCTTCATGTCCAATCAATGGTATTTTGCTAATTTGAGCTTCAAATATGGGTAGTTCACTAAATCACTCTATTTTTTTTTCTTGGGCTATTTTATTACGTCATAAAGTTTATTTTTATACGTCGGTTGGTTGCCGCTGGAGTCTGAGTCGCTCTTCGCCGGAATTGTGGATGAATAAATTTCACATTTAATTTTTTTGTTTTGCATTTTCTTGCTTGAAACTTGACCGTCAGAATCTCTCTGTTAACTGATCAGATAATTTCTTTCTTATTTGCATAATCAGAATTGTTCTTGTTTGAGGAGAACCGGACACTTTATTTGCTGGGACATGGCGCAGATACAAGGGACTGATGCTCACCCCATAGCCAGATGGCTCACCAGGGTCAGAGAGCTAGGAAGACAGGCGGTGCACCTACTTCACCCGCACGTTTGTTCAGCCATGGCCTTTTTTGGTGTTGCGGCCATTGCGGTTTCCCCTACTTTCCGGACATCGGGGACACGTGTCCAGGTTGCTTTGCTGTCCGGTCTCATCATGTATGCCGTGTTGACCGGATGCATTGCCTTTGGAACGTGGTCAACCAATCGTGTCTTGAACACCGCCACTAGAGTAAATGGGGTATTGGTCGCCACCTTTAAACTCCTCAGTTTATTGACTGTTTTTTGGATTTCTAGCATTGCTTTGTTTACTAGAGACTATCCGTTATCCTTGGGGGCCCGGACATTGGTTGTGCAAAGCCAGTATGTCTCGTACCACCAAGGATACAATCTACGATTCCACAATATTGTTGTTGGTCTACTCGCGATAGCATCTATGGTTGTCATTAACGAGTTCCAAAACTATATTGCGGCTTTCTGCGGTTTTGCTATGCTGATTATAGGTGTCATGTTATATGCTTGTACCTGATATATTGATACTAAGTATTTATCTAATATTTGTTCGAAACTTTTTTTTATTGTTTTTCATTAACAAATTTTGTCAACTATAATGCTATTTTGAAGTGTTGCAAAAAAAAAGAAAAAAAAAGATAAAGTGCTTTGTTAGAAGATCCTGCCTTCAAAGAGAAAAGGCTTATTGATCTTAACAACATTCCACTTCTTGTCCCCACTATAATCGTATAAACAACTAAACAAATTTGGCAAATTAGTTTGTTTGTTAACTTCTTGGTAAACATAAAATCAGCGAAGAAGAATAATTTGATAGCATTGTCATGTCTAATGCATTATTGATTTATTTAAATTCCATGTAGTCATCTTTTAGAAGTTGTAAAACTAATATGATTACATGTTGTAATACAATTGTCAAAGTTTTCATAGAGTTCAATTCTTTCAATTAGTTTGTTACTTCTCACTAATTACATGCCGGAGAATTAAAACAAGAAATATGATGCGTTGTTAATATCCACTTTTCACTATTATTGATGATTTGGTACAAATTGGTTAAGACGGCCAAACAAACCGAAACTTTTGCATAACCGAGCTGGTCAAGACACCTATACAGACCAACACCTTTCATATCTCGGTATACTCCGGTTCCGCCTCTTGGTTATTTCGGAAGACTAGTATGTCCACAAACCACAAGTCTAGACCTCCATTTAGTGGGTTTTACTAATCGTCTCTCTTCACAAACCGGCCCTGAAAAGAGATGAATCAAAACCAATGACTAATTAACCAGCAGTTCCATGCATCAACAACAACCACTGCTAGTTCTTGGTGCAGTTACATGTTTTCTACTACTGTAGCCATCGTCTTTACTATAATAAACCTAAATCTAATTAAATCCAGTAGTAAATGTGTACAAACTGTTGAAAACAAGACGAGAGAAGCTTACTTTAACACGAGGACGTTTCTCTTCTCAGCGTTGAGTTTACGAACTTCCTATCGAATCCGCTTAGAGGGAAAGCGGTTTTGGCGTTTCTCTTTATACCGGAGCAAGCTGGCTTCTCTATGCCCTCTCCATCTCCGGCACCGTCCATAAACTCCCCGCCTCTCTCCCGCCAGTAAACACCTAAATCACCATCAAAACACACTTACTCAGTATCAAATATTGTTCACCAGCTTTATTAATAGTGATCAATGTTCTAAAAATCGGTCTAGGCGTCCGCCTAGGCGGCAAATCCCCTCTCACCGAAACGATTTTCTTAAAATCTGATTTATACAATTCAAGTCAGTTTAAACCATGTTAAATCGGTTTAAATTGCTCTAAAACAGTTATAATTAGTTTAAATTAGTATAATTTTTTTAAATTAAGTAATAATTTAGGAAATAATAACAAATTTGTGTAATTTATTTTATTTTGTATATCGGATTTTGATAATTTATAAAATAAAATTATAATTAAACCAAAAAACTTAAATCGCTTATATAAATTTCCAATATATATAAAATAAATCAATAATTCGTTAACGCCTAATTTCCGCCTAGGCCCCGAATAATCCGCCTAGACGTTAGTCCTCTATAGAACGCCTAGTTTCCGCCTAGCGATTTTTAGAACATTGATAGTGATTATAACAAAACGTTAAATAGTTTCTTCGTACATTTGCCAATAGTATAGCGTATGATTTGATAACTTCCATAGGGCTTCATGATTTCACAAATGATTTCTTATCAATTAAAAAGTTAGTATAGTCAAAGCTTAATAAGTCAATCAGGCTATCATCATTACAGTTTCAAGACAGGTACAGTCACTCGTGACCTCATTAAAATTTTCACCGGTTATATTTTTTTCTCTAAGGAACTAATATAAGTATTTATGTGAAAAGAAGACATTGAACAAATATATGAATATATATGTGAAAAGAATTATAGTCAAATTTGATTTATTAATTGGAGAATATATTAAGGAACTAATGTGGACTTATAGATATCATTGTTATCATTTGATTAAATTTCGAGTTAAGATTTTGATTATATTTTCATGCAAACTATAAACTGGTTGCAAATAGGTCATGAATTTCTGTTCAAGAAATATTTTATGTTGCAATAGTTTATTATTTTCTCGTTTGTTAAAAATAATAAGAACTTTAACTAACGTTGTACAATGATTTAGAATTAGTCTCGCAACAAATAAAATACTTTTCTTATTTAAAAACTAGAAAACCCTTTAAATATCAAATGAGAAAGATGATGTCAACCTTAAGTTTTGTGGAAAGTCTGAAATCATACAAAATTTCGTGATGTTACAACTCATTTCTTTTTTTTTTTTTTTTTGAATAACCCGGTTTATCCTGGCATCCATCAAGCTGGATCCAGACTAGCGGCGAGTGTCCGTATCAGCCTACGTTATCGGCCGGAGTACGCCTCGGTCACCGGACGTTGGAGGAGCCCAGATTTTAAAATTTACCTCCAGTGGCCAGCGGGATTCGAATCCGGGTCCGTATTGGGGTCGAAGCTCCCTCAATACCACTAGGCCGTCCCTCGCTTGGTTTAACTCATTTTCTACTTATGGGTTTACAAGAGAACTTAAGATGATACTATCATTGCTTACCGGTTTAGAGCCAAAGCAACAACGGCTATTGTTCGAAGGGAAAGCAAGAGAGGATGATGAATATAAAAGTGTTTTGTTAGAAGATCCTGCCTTCACAGAGAAAAGGCTTATTGATCCTAACAACATTTCCATCTCTTGTCCCACTATAATCGTATAAACAACTAAGCAAATTTGGCAAGTTTGTTGTTTTTAACTTCTTGGAAAATATAGAATCAGCCAAGAATAATAACTTGTAGGATTGTCATGCATAATGCATTATTGACTCCTTGTATATTCCACGTAGTCATCTCTTCAAGTTGTAAAACTACTATGTTTACATGTATTTATATACTTATTTGTTAAAGTTTTCAGAGGGTTCCATACTTTCAATTAGTTTTCTTACTGATAATTATATGTCGAAAAATCAAAACAATATGATCATGCGTGGTTAATATCCACTGTCATTATTATTATTTGTTCAGACGATTTGGTACAAATTAGTTAACTTCTCCGTCAAGAGAGCTGCAAACAAACCGAAAGTTTTGCATAACCGAGCTGGTCGAGACCCCTATACATACCAATACCTTTCATGTCTCGGTCGGTATACTCCGGTTCCACCTCTTGGTTATTTCAATAGACTGGTATGTCCACAAACCCTCAAGTCTAAACCACCACTTCTTAGTGGGTTTTACACTTTTACTAATCGTCTCTCTTCACAAACCGTCCCTGAAAAGAGATGAACCAAAACCAATGACTAATTAGAACCAGCAGTTACATGCATCAACCAATGCTAGTTCTCGGTATGTTCAATCAGTTACATGTTTCTAAGTCATCGTTTTTAATGTTTGTAGGATAAATTGTCGAAAAGAAAACAAGAGAAGCTTACTTTAACACGAGGACGTTTCTCAGCGTTGAGTTTACGAACTTCGTATCGAATCCGCTTAGAGAAAAGACGGTTTTGTCGTTTCTCTTTATACCGGAGCAAGCTCGCTTCTCTATGCCCTCTCCACAACCTCTCTGTCGTCTCCATCTCCGGCACCGTCCATAAACTCCCTGCCTCTCCACCGCCAGTAAACACCTAAACCACCATCAAACACACACTTGCTTAGTATCAAATCCTGTTAACCACCTTTAATTAATAGCAACTATAACAAAACTGTTAAATAATTTCTTCCCACATTAGCCAATAGTAATAGTATAGCGTTATGATTCGATAACCTCCATATAGGTTTTCATGATTTCACAAATGATTTCTTATCAATTAAAACGTTTAATATAGTCAAACCTTAATAATCTAATCAGGCTATCATCATTACAGTTTCAATTTCAAGACAGGACACTCGTGACCTCATTAAAATTTTCACCGGTTATATTTTTTTGTCAACTTAAATGCCTAATTAATTTTTTTTTTAATTAGTTACTTTAAACATTGATTAAAATATATAAACTGACAAAAAGCAGAGATACAGTATTAACTTACATCAGCGGAGGCATGCAAGTCCGGCACAGTCTGCGGCGGTTCTCCGTCGACATAAAGAGTACCTTTATCCGACCAAGCCTCCATGATCTGCTCATAATCAAGCTTCAGAGCCAGCGAAGAAGGCCTTCCATCTTTTCCATCAGGCCGTGGAGTTCCGCTCCTACTCATCACCTCCTCCACAACCTCCGAGTAACTCACCCACCTCTCCTCCGTCGTCTCCTCCTCCTTGCTCGCTCCTTTCCTCATCGCCGTCTTCAGAAGCGAGGAAGAAGAAGACGATCCTCCGTGGTGCTCGTGGTGATGACTGTCGTACGGAGACAGATTCCTCTCTACGTGGTGGGTGGAGGAGGAAGGAAGGAGATCTTGGATCGAAGACATTGAGCTGTCGGTGGCGGAGCTGAAGAGGTAAGCTGCTACGGTGTTTTCGTACTGCTCTTCTTCTTTCTCGCATCCTATAGTCTCCGCTCTCTTCTTGTCTTTAAACGGCTTCGTATCGGTTTCTTTCGTCTTGCTCTGTTTCGATGGTTTTTGTTTTTGTTTCTTCTTCTTCTTTTTATTGCTCTTCGTGGCTTTGGGACTCTCGTGAGAAGTGCTGAGTTCGAGTTTGAGACTTAGAAATTTGGGTCGTTTCGTCTTTGTCCTGATCTGTTTACGAGACGTGGAAGGAGACGTGTTCATGGAAGTTGATTCCATCTGCTTCCTCTTCTTGATCCTTTTCGATTTTCTCGTACTCTGTTTTACTTCGCCGGCCGGACTTGTTAAGCTACACATCTTCGATCTCTCTCTCTCTCTCTCTCTCTCTCTAACTCTTGATTAACTCTTTCTGTGTTCTCCCCTTTTTCTCTCTCACTCGAGAAAGTATGTAGGTGGAGGGAAAAGAAAAGCTGACAGTGATGGTCCTTTGACACGTGTTTGATAGTCATTGGATAGTGTATTGTAATCTTGGATTCTGTTTGGATGTGTCTGAAGATAGTAAGGTTTGGATAGGTGTATAAGACTTTTGATTAACTACGGATTTTTTTCAACTTTCTCTTAAGCACTTTTTAAAAATAAACTTTTTGGTTACCATTGAGTTCATGGATTCTCATTAAAAGGTTCTGGATTTGATTAACATTCTTTTTAGAGCCATTAACATTTATATTAATTGGATATTAACATGAGTTAACCAAATAAACGTGTTTAACATGGATTTTTCTTCTGGAAGCAAAATTCACATATGATTTTTCGACTTTCCTCTACCACCGACAGCAATGACAAATGAAGTGATATGGAATACAGTAGTATCCTGATCTTTTACTGTCAGTTTGATGACACCTTTAGTAAAGAAGAATAGATTTTTGTTTGTGATAGCATTCACGTGAGCTAAATAAAGTTCTATGCATTATATCTTGTCTTATACATTTTCTTGTTAAGCTAATCTGCAGTTGTGTAAGGTTACATTTTCTCTAGGCTGCATGTAAGGTCATACAGCTTATTAAACGTTCTTAACCAAGTTATTTAGGTCATTTTAGTCACTATATTTGATGGGTTTAATATTTAATTAAACCTTACTTTTGGCAGTTTCAAATGCATAAGGGTATGGCCGTGTGTGAGGGGGGGTTACAAATATACAAAATGTGGATTTTAATAAAATAAAATAATTTTGGTTAAATGCTACGTTAACGTAATAGGCTAGAATATACTTTTAGGATGTCCGCATATTTGGTGATAACAAAATACAATAGATTGCTTTCACTTAAAGCGAAAAAGGTGAAAAATATCAATCATGTTTATAACTTCGTGAGATTAAACAAGAAAAGATTATAGCAAAATAGGATTTTTGAGAAATTTGAATGATATTCTTAAAGATATAGATATTTTTTAATACTTCCGAAAAGACTTTCTATAAAAAGATGCTATATTTAGAAAACATTTTTTTTTCATTTGCTATTCTGAGATATTGCTCTCTTAAAATTCTGGTTAATAATTGCTAGATTTGACTAGTGTTTCAAGTAAAAAGTTAAACATTAGACAAATTTTGGAGTTACAGATGAGAAGTTGCCATAAAGGAAAAGCTGACAGAGTGATAGGAAACCAATCAGAGCCAAACATACATGCACAAGAGCAATATAGGTTGGTCCTCCATTGAATAATTTCAACACTTTTAATTTTCTTCCGTTTCAAATATCCACAAAAATCTATGCGTTTCCACAAAACTTTATTTTATTAAGAAAAATATGAAAAATGTTTTCTAACAAAATTTCATATTGACTTATGAGTTTATATTATTAACTCCAATTAATCTCAATTTATAAACGTATATATAAAAATAAATTAACGTCTCATCTCGAAAGATTATATGACAAATCTTTCTAAGCAAAATATGGACTAATTTAACTTAGAAAGAAAAAAAGAACAAGCTGATGGCTGCGGTAATGCCAGCAACAGAAAGCTTGACGGTGGACACGGCACCGCTTGATGGTGACTCTGCACTGGGTCCGTCACTTGGTCCATCAGCAGTGGATGTGCTATCAGGTGTGGGAGATGGCGGGGAGGACACGGTGGGTGCATCAGAGCTGTCACTAGGACCAGCGGCAGAGGAGTCATCCTCGCTGGCAGGTCCTTCAGCAGAGGAAGATGATTTGGGAGAAGAGGCTGAAGATGATGACTTTGGTGCACCAGCGGATGAAGATTTTGGTGTAGGAGCCTTCGTTGGGGCAGAGGGAGGAGTCTTGGTGGTTGGTGGTGCGGCGGTTGGAGACGGAGACTTCTTAGGGGAAGCTGAGGGAGCATCGGCGGCGAAAGCGGTGGCAACAATGATAGCCAATAGAGCAAATACGATAAACTGGCGTGCCATTTTTTTATTTGGTTTTTATTGAGATTAATAAGAGGTTATTCCAAAAGCTAAAGCAGTACTATTATTATGTTTTTTTTTGTTTTTTTGGTTCTTTTTACTACAAGGGAGAAACACTGCAAAAGCTTTAGGATGTAAGAACAAGGGGGATGGTGAATTTAAATGTTTTTCCGAGATGAGAAAAATTAGGAAAACTGATGGATACGAGAGGAGAAATGAATTTTATACACTAATTTTAGAAAGTTTTTTAAAATAATTAGTCCAAAAATAAATGATAAGGGAGAAAAAAACAGTTCTGAATTATTGATTCAAACTATTTTTAGCAGCTGAGAGACTGATATATAACCTCTCAGTTTAATTCAGACAAAATAATAATCAGAATTATAGTTTTAATACATTTTGGGCTTTTTAAATTAAAGAGTTTATAGTGCAGTTGAACTAAGCCCAAACTAATACTAAATACTTTGTCTGCACCAAAAATACAAGTAAAGACACCTAAACACTCACTAAACACATAGACAACTCTTACATTTGAAGTTTAAATATCCATATTATCACTTTTTCAGTTAAGCTTTCAGTATAAAAATATATTAATATCTATATGAAAATAAAATTATATTAATACTATATTGTCAGAAATTTTAAGAAATTCGCCCTAATGTAGTTTATTTTTGAAAAAAAAATTTGAAGTTCATACAATTTATAACTGTAGAGTTTAGAAAAACTTATGCTAATGCAAAGCCCTAATCTCACTCGATTGTTTGCTTAAGACATAAGCTTCACCAGTTCAGAAAATATCACACCCCAAATAAATAAACTATAGAATAACTCACAAACAAAACAAGAAAAGAAAAAGAAAAAAAAAGAAACATCAACATTAGAACTGCAATCAAGATCAAGATCAAATGTTCTTGTTCTGTAATATGTACGTATTGTAGACATACTTCTCCGTGCTTATTCGGATCGTACCCTATCCAATCTATCAACACTCTTCCTTCCTCTCTCAATCTCATGATGGTTACTCTGATGATGACTATACTGGTCAACGCTCTTCCTTGCCTTCTCGTGGATGTCAACGCTCTTCCTCGTACGATCCAAATGCTGCTCGAAAGTGATTCTCAGCTTACTCTTCTTCGACGAGCCCTTTGGTGGTTTCTCTTTCTCCCTTCTATCAACGCTTTGTCTTGGCTTCTCTCTTCTATCAACGCTCTGCCTCGGTAATTCCACATCGCTGCTCTGGCTCTCTGATTGGCATGTGCTCTTCCTAGAGGAGAGAGATCTCTCTACGGTTGTGATGAACTTCTTGAGGTGTTTGATGTAGTCAGGGTACTGTTCTAGATCACAATGGTTACCTCCTTCGAGCCAAAGCGGTTCATACTTCTCTTTAGAGAGTTCCCATAATTGTTTCCCATGGGAACAGTCAACAACTTCATCACTAGTTCCCTACAACAAGATGAATAAACCAAAGAGAATTAAAGACAACAACAAGAACTCAAAAAGAGAGAGAAATGGATATGTAATGTTAACTCACGTGAATGACAAGAACAGGGCAATTCACAAGTGGGATCTTGTCGATATTCTGCAAAAGAAAGAAAACATAAACTTGAAACCAAGAAGAATCCATTAAAGAATGATTTGAGTTTATTACCTTGTAGATGTCGAACCAGTACGTCTTCTTCACTGGATACATTACTCTTAGACCTGAAAGAATAGGGCTATGGAGAACAACAGCTCTTAACTGAGGCAATCGAGCAGCGAGGTCTAACGTAGGTCCACTTCCTACGGATTGGCCATAGAGGATAATGTCTTCCTGTTTTGCTCCATAGGTTTCTTCAAGACATTTATAAGCAGCTTCAATGTCAGCATATGTATGATGCTCACTCGGCTAAAATCACACACAAACAAAAAAAAAACATTTTCATAATTAGTTTTATAGCCCATTATCAATATATTTTCTTGTTGATTCTTAAAAGACAAACCTTTCCAGTAGATTGTCCATACCCTGAGTAATCATACCTGTAATAAGAACACACAAAAAAAAACAAATTTAGCTGAATCAAGCTAAGAAAGATCTAAACTTGTTATAATCAATTATTAACTAAAGTTTCAGACACAAACTGAAAAAATTCAGAACATAACCAAGTTAAGAATTTTAAAAGACGGCATAAGAAACAAATGTAGCTGAATCAAGGCCCTAGAAAGCATCTAAACTTATTATGTCTGTTTCAAATCCGATAATAATCATATTATAAACTAAAGTTTCAGACACAAACTGAAAACAACCGCTTAAGCATCAGACACACAACCAAGTTAAGATTTTTAAAAGACAAAAAAACATACAGAGTTAACAAGTTTGATCATATTCAGACAAAAAAACATCACCAAACAGAACACAATTACAGACAGTTAGAGCTAATCATAAAACAGAGCTCTGTGTATTAACTATTGTGTGATGAAACAAAAAAAAAAACAGAGGAAAGGTTGAGACTTTGACATACCCCATAAGATTAACCTTAAGATGGATACTCAATTCGATGAAGAGCTCATACATCTGACCCAGATCGGCTGCGTTACCATGTGAATAAAGCAGAGTAGATGTAGCCATCGGGTGTCTCACGTACATAGCCACGATCTCTGTTCCTTTACGTGTCTGAAGCTTCGATATTTCAACGTTCTCGCGGTGAGGAAACGGGTTCATCACAAGAAGTCCTGTCAGCTCGTCGGTTAACAGCCTGTACGACGCTGGACTCGGAGGAAAGAAAGCGAACTTCGCTGCAACTGATGACGTCACCCCTCCCATCTCTCTCTCTTGCTTCACAGTCTCTTGACACTTTTGCAGCTTAACTGAAAGATTGAGATTGAAGCTTTTATTTTTTCCTTTATCGGAAACTGAGAGAGAGAGATTGAGAGAGGATTTAGGAAGAAAAAGTGGCGCTTGAAATGGTAAAGCGAAGATAA